ATACCTTTTTTGGACATACATTGCTTTGAAGTAATAATGGGACATAAAGGGATAATACTTTGTATAGAAATGAGTTTTACGATCTATGGAACTTTATAATTACGAATATTTCACTAGTGACAATGAATTATCCAACCTTTATCAGATCAGAAAAAAATGCAATCTGGCCAGGCACGGTGGTTCATGCCTGTAATCTCGGCACTTGGGGAGGCTCAAGTGGGCAGATCACTTGAGGTCAGCAGTTTGAGACCATCCTGGCCAATGTGGTGAAACCCTGTCTCTACTAAAAATATAAATATTAGCTGGGCTTGGTGGTGCACGTCTGTAATTCCAGCTACTCAGGAGGCTGAGGCACGAGAATTGCTTGAACCTGGAAGGTGGAGGTTGCAGTGAGCTGAGATCATGCCACTGCACTCCAGCCTAGGTGACAGAGTGAGACTCTGTCTCAAAAAAAAAAAAAAAAAAAAAGGAAAAAAAACAAGCAATCTATTATTAAAAACCATTTTTTTTATTATCAAAACAAAATTCTAAAAAGTTGATGAGTGAGAACTGTCATGATTTTATATGTACGTTTTGATAGCATCTCATATTTACAGGCAGGCAGAAGGCTAGAAGGCATGCAAGTATCAGATGAACCATATTCTATGATGCAGGGCCTAAAAATGTTAAATTCATAATTTAGGAAAATCAATTCTGATAGCCCTATTCCTATAAAATATGTAATAAAGAAGATAAACTTTACTATACTTGATATTCTATTCTCATTTTTAATAGACCTAGAGGGAAATCTGTTGATTAAATTTTTCATTTTATCTAGAGTTCATACCCATTGACAAAATCTTTGGATTTTTTTTTTCATTCATCGTATTCATCATTTTCATCCTTCATTTTTTTTTCTTACAACACACACATCCCACAAACAATTTTCCTTTGTGCTTTACAGATTAAGATAATTACTGACAATTATCGACTATAAAACATTAGGATTTTTAAGGGAGAAGTTTTACATTGTTTTACTTTTATCAAATTAGTATTTGTGCTTTCTACCAATAACTTCTGACCTCATTAAAAAATATTTGCAATCCTGATGTATATAATATAGGTAAATGTGTCTAGAAGCAGCTTCTTCTCTTTAGATCCAACTATCAAAACAGACAAACTACTATATAATTCAGGTACAGAATTATACTTCTAAATTCCTATCTGATACATCAATATTATATGTTAGATATTATTAGAACTGCAACTACTCTAGGGTGTAAAGTAAAAGGGAAATTAGTAGAATTACTTTTTAATGGGCCTATATTGATTTTATGTTTGCTTATTTATTATTTATTTTATTGGTATTATTTAATAGCCCATGAGTGCTACAAACTTTTGCCATATTCATATCACATGTATTTATATATACATATAAAATATGAAGTGAATCTATTAAAGATCAAGTTATTCACAATCAGGTAAATTGCTTCTTTTCAAAAACAGATATTAGAGAAGACATATTTATGTATACTTTAAATCCATTTAAGAAACCCCTAATATAATTTTACCTATGTAGCTGCTATAGGTATATATGAATATAAGAGCACCTCAATAGTTTTCAAATAACTGAAAAACTTTAAGAATAAAATACTGCTCAATTTCTGAATAATGAAATATACAATACCATGGAAACAGACACTTGTCAACTAGTAGTACCAAAAAAAGAAAAGAAAAAAAACCCAGATACTAGAACAGCAGAAATTCAAGATTTGTGATTTATATAATATAGAGATGGAAGAGATCAAATATGAAGCTTACCCTATCAAAATTAAGAAATAAGTTAACAAGATTCTAAAGATTTCATGGACATACCTTAAATCAAGTAAAAGGCTATAGTTGTCTATTTGGTATTACATACAAAAAAGAAAAACTATCAAATGTGTCCATTTGGTGGTTACAAAAGTTACATAGCAACAAATAAAAAAATTTGACTCTTATAAATTAACTCTTACATAAAATACCAGGAATAGTTCTCATTGAACAGTCACAGCCACCGTGGTAAATAGGTGCTTTTATTTCCCTTGCTTTATAGAAAACTAAGGCACAGAGTGGTTAAATAACTAGTCTCAATAGAGGTATAGGAGAAAAATACATTTGGTCTTTGTTCTTGATTCCTGACTTACTAAAGAACTCATAAAACCCTTGGGAATTTCCTGAGTGATAGGAGTAGAGAGTGCCTTTTGTTATTCCTAACAAACCCTTTGCACCCCCCTCCTGCCTCCCTTTTTTTTTTTGAGACAGGATCTCCCTCTGTCACCCAGGCTGGAGTGCAATGGTGTGACCTCTGCTCGCCACAACCTCTACTCTCAGGTTCAAGTGATTCTCATGCCTTAGCTACCCGAGTAGCTGGGATTACAGGCGTGTGCCACCACACCTGGCTAATTCTTTGTATTTTTAGTAAAGACGTGGTCTCCACTTTGTTGGCCAGGCTTGTCTTGAACTCCTGGCCTCAACTGATCCACCCTCCTGGGCCTCTCAAAGTGCTGGGATTACAGGCGTGAGCCCCTGTGCCAGGCCCAAACCTCTTCAGATCACACCTGAGTTTATGCTAATGAGATTACTTAGGGTGCCTGCCTAGATAGTCTCAGGATGGGGCTGGTCTGGTCATTGGAAAGTCTAAGTTGTTAGAACATAGGAATTTTCACTTCCACCCACTGAGGGGTGGGGTTGGAGATTGGGCTCTATAAAATCTCTTGAACAATGGGATTCAGAGAGCTTCCAGAGTGATGAACTCATCAAGGTGCTGGAGGGGTGCTAAATACTGAGAGGGGGTGGAACCTTCTTGCCCCTATACCTTGCCCTGTGCATCTCTTGATTTGGCTATTCCTAAATTGTATCCTTTATAGTAAACTGGTAAGCATAAGTAAAGTGTTTCCAGGAGTTTTGGGACCTATTCTAGCAAATTAGTGAATCTGAAAATGGGGGGTTATGGGAACCAGCGGACTTGGTAGTCAAGTAGGACAGAATTTTGAGTAGCCTGGGGATCTGGTACTTGCCACTGGCATGTGACGTGAAGGCAATCTTGTGGACTGAGCCCTTAAATCTGCGGAGTCTAGTACTAATTCCTGGTAGGTAGTGTCACAACTTAATTGAAATAAAAAGAAGGACATCTGATATCTGTTGAAGTTGAAGAATTGGCTGGTTCGAGTAAAAAAACCCAAATAGCATCAGAAGTGTGAGTAAAAACACTCCATCTGTGATCACCTTGTTGGTAAGTAGCAGAGCCAAAATTCAAAGGTTTGAATTTTCAGCCTACCATTTTGTATTAACTGGAAGCCTCATAGGATACAAAACATTTTGTGATGTAAATTATTTCCCCACAATGAATTATCCAAGGAATTAAAAATAATACTGTTATTTGGTTATGAATGAATTTTCTGGTGAAATTTTTTCTATTTTTCTGTTATGGAAAAATATGAAAATATCAAACCATCACACAAAAAATAGGCATATGTAAATCCAAAGTGATTTACTAAAACACTTAAGACAGCACCCAAACTTCAAAAATCCATATCTTAACGTAAGTAGTCAATGTTCTTACAAAGAAACAAAAGATAAGCACACCTCTGCAGGAGATGGCTTCCTTCCCAATTGTACTTTTTCAGTTAGTCATAGCATAAAAGAAATGTAAAACTTGGCCAAAGAACCATTAACTATAGAAGCCAGAAGCTAAATAAATTGTGTAAGGATGACTTCATTTATGCACTTGAAGTTAACCTCTCAATACAACTTGATTTTGATTGTTTTAAAAGCCAAAACTATTTTATTTAAAACCCTAATTATAATAATATCAAAAGTTTATATACCATGGTTTTTATATAGAGGAATAGAAAAAAAATACTTCTTAAAATTGCATTTTCATATAGTAGAGCAGCAGTTCTCAAAGTCTGAAAGTATGGTCTATGGTCCAACAACAACAACATCTACATCACCTGGGGCCTCGTTAGAAATACAGATTCTCAAGACCCATTGCAGCTTTACTGAATCAGAAACTCTAGGGGTTGGGGGTCAAGCAATTTGTGTTTTAATAAGTCCTCTAGTTGATTTTGATGCAGGATAAAGTTTGAAAACCATTGTACTAGTATAAGAAGGCCAGTAATTATTTAATAGATGCAGAGCAAAAGTACCTTGTGGTATGTTAATAAGATAACAGATACAATAGTGTACTGATTTGAAATAGAAAGACATAGTAAATATTAAGTTGAAATTGATCCAAGAAACACATTTGGTTGGGGGTTTGGGGACGTAAAGGAAACTGTCACAATTGGTAATGTAATTTTATGTATGGCTCTGAGGTGACAACTGTGGTTTATGGCTTCCTTAAAGAAAAAATACACTCCCCTCCCATATTAGTTAATAGTGCTTATTCTTCATTCTTTCCCTAATTTTTCTTTCCATATATAAACAAGTTGAAGATGATTCATGTGTTCTTCAGCCTAGATATTAATTCTACTTTTGGGCTCATTAAATTCTGCATTTAAATGCTGTTCACATTTAGAATTGCGGAAAATATATCCCTTTTCAACAAAAGTACTGTAAAATCAGTATATTCTATTGCAGTCATCTTACTGTAATTTTAGACAAATGACAAGGGTACCTCAAGAAAAGAATTATATTGACAAAGCACATCAGACCAGATGCCATGCTAACCATCAGAATTCTGCTATCACTTCCTTTGGAAATGTGCCTAAAATTAGGCTGACATCAAGCAAATGACAGATTACCTCTGGATCAGTTTAATCTTCCTCATATTGTATCATTTCTAGTTTAAGCCCAAAGAAAAAAAGTCAAGAAACATTTTTCACAATTCATCCACAGCAAAATTTTCACATTATTAGAACTACAAGTTATTTGTTATGCCTAGCAAAGTTATAAAAATAATATAAATATAGTAAAAAGGATTTAAAAAAAACATGATTAGTTTAATCCTTGAATATGAAAAGGCATGTACATCTTACCTCTGGAGTGACATCACGTGGTGCAAACCCTGTTCCTCCAGTTGTTAATATCAAATTAAGTTCCTTTTCATCACACCAATCTATCAGGGTTTCCTGAAAGAAAACAATAGTATAGTCATGTGCAGAAGAACTTGCCTGCTTGCTCAAAACATCCCAGTCCTCGGACACTTTGTATTCAGTGAGGAAACACAGATTCTTTTCAACAGCCAGTAAGAAAACTTTTAAGCACAATTCATGGAACAGTTTCACTCTTGATCAAAAGGCACTGAAATTTTGAGTACTTATTTTATTAATTATAGAAAATGAGGATGCAAGTATCAAATTCTTGAAAGTAAATAAAACATAAGAAAAACCGTAAATAAAGAGCTTATAATTAATGGCTTATCTGAAGTTCTTTTTAGCCATTCAAAAGACACTACTATGACAGTTATAGAGATTAGAATTACATATCATAAAATTCTGGAGCTGGCAGGGTCTTTAGCAGATGTGCCTCTTTATTTTCTAATGAGCAACCGAAGTACAATGTGCTGAAATAATTCACAAAGTTACACACCTAGTTTGTAACAAAGTGAACTAGGATCTCCATCTGATGACTTTTCCTATTCTTGCTAATTCTATCAACCGATCCTACATTTTAGCCATTTGCTAAGAAGGGCAATTAAGTGCTCATTAAATTATAATCATATACTTGCATTGGTATTATATTGTTTCATCATGTTTTTACAATTCAGAGTCAAAATTAAAAAATATAATTCATCATTTAATTGCCAATAACTTGTGTGAAATACAAATAGCAGGCTGATACTGAGATGTACAATACAGTGTCCTCAGTTCTCAAATTCATCAGTGACACAAAATGTAGGATGATTATTTACAATAAATCCAAGACCTAAAAAATGATTTTTTTCTTTCTTTGCAGATTTGTGTTTTATTCTGGTATCACAGAAATGCAGAGCTCAGAGCTCTAAATAAAGGAAACTTTTCTGTGCAATGATTAATGAATGGCAACAAACTATTTTTTAAAAACATAAATTGTAGATAACTGAGAGTCCATCTAAAGAATTTTGATCCCTGATATAGTTATAATTTTGTTCTGAGAAAGCCCCTCAAAAATCAATGATTATTATAATAAAGGTGCTTATAAAGTGGTTTCATAAACCAAAGTTAAAACTTCAATTGTCTGTGCTTCATTTTAAAAAGTAGAAAAGCTTAAATACTCACTCTTATAAATAGCTTTCTATTCTTTCCGGTATATAAAAAAAAAACAGCCGGGAGCAGTGACTCATGCCTGTAATCCCAGCACTTTGGGAGGCCGAGGCGGGTGGATCACGTAAGGTCAGGAGTTCGAGATCAGCCTGGCCAACATGGCGAAACCCCGTTTCTACTAAAAACACAAAAATTGGCCAGGCATGGTGGAGCACACCTGTACGTCCAGCTACTCAGGAGACTGAGGCAAGAGAATCACTTGAACCTGGGAGGCGGAGGTTGCAGTGAGCTGAGATCGTGTTACTTAACTCCAGCCTGGGTGACAGAGTGAGACTCTGTCTCAGGAAAACAATAAACAAAAAACAAAACCACGGTTGATACCACAACTCAGCAATGTGTAGATTAACTGTCTTTGTTTTCTGACTGATGTATCCTAGAACACCTTAGATCTCCTTGTAACATTCCTAAGTACTTCCATTATGGAAGTGAAATGCCTGTGCCAGTTTTCTCACCTCTAATAGCAATCCATTTATATCAGATCTTGATAAAAAGTGATATGAAATCTAAGTTGCATCAACAAACTATCTAAACACCAAAATGTTTATATCAAATACCAACTTTCAGTATTAATATTAAGAGGGTATTCAAACTTTCAAATTTTAAGATGCTAATAAAGATAGTAAAAATGGTCCCTTTATAGTGAAGAATGCTCCTGTTTTGCCTCAGGTAATACTTCCTTATAAGATAATTCATCTGTTGACTAAGTAAAAATTTATGAAGTATCTACCATGTATTAAGTGTTAAAAGTTAAAAATAAGAGGAACACTGACTCAGATTTCAAAGAGATAATCGTCAAGTAATGGTTCTCAACCTTGGGTGCACAATGGAATTAACTGCGGAGCTTTAAAAAATATTTGGGCCTCACCTCTTTGGTATAGCTTGGGTGCTGGGATTTTTAAAAGCTTCCCAGGTAATTCTAAAATGTAGCCAGCAACTGAAAACTACTAGTCTAAGAAGACAATCTGTTCAATTACTCAAGGGTAAATTTCACAGATAGTTGGGTAGGCCCACGAAGATTTCACACAGTTTAAAATTAGTTTTTGGCCGGGCGCAGTGGCTCATGCCTGTAATCCCAGCACTTTAGGAGGCCGAGGTGGGTGGATCACGAGGTCAGGAATTCGAGGCTAGCCAGGCCAAGATGGTGAAACCCCATCTCTACTAAAAATACAAAAATTAGCCAGGCACGGTGGCAGGTGCCTGTAATCCCAGCTACTCGGGAGGCTGAGGAAAGAGAATCGCTTGAACCAGGGAGGTGGAGGTTGCGGTGAGCCGAGAATCTGCCACTGCACTCTAGCCTGGGCGACAAAGCAAGACTCCATCTCAAAAAAACAAACAAAAATCAGTTTTACCACAGTAATATTACTAAAGTTTTTCTATTTCCAGGATGGATAACTGGTAACACTTAATGTATAGATTTGTTTCATCTGAATAACATTTGTTATCTTGAGAGCAGTTAAGAATCTATTCAAGCATTTGGGAGGTAATATTTTGTCGGCCAAAGTAGCTAATGTTATGTATGGCAGATTTCATGTGAGCAAAAGTTTTAGTAAGGCTTTTAGATTTTAAGACAAAATAGAAATCCTATCATTCAGTCACTTGTTTTTCAAAACAAAAGAATTCTTCCTCACCCACCAGTATAGAATTCCAGTTTTCCAGGGCCATAGTTGTCATGCATCTGATTCATTAATTCATTTAACAAGAAAATATTTCAGGGCAAACTTTTATTCAGGTACTTCCTTAGAGAACAGCAATGCAAAGATAAATAAGGCAGTGTCTCTAGTCTCAAGGATTCAGTCAAGTAGAGGAGCTCTTTGTCTATAGTTTTCTAGAATCTTGTTACTAGAAGTGTGATCTGAGAACTGACACCAGTGGTGTCATGGAATTAGAAATACACATTTGAAGTTTCATCCAAGATCTACTGAATCAGAAGCTGCATTTTAAGAAAGATACCTCAAGGTAATGTATGTATACATATTAAACTGAACTATGTGCCACATTAGATACTGAGTGTTTTTTCTATCATGTTAAAAAAGCAGTTTATCTTAGCTATTTACTGTACTAATTTATTAAATTTATCTTAACTTAGTAATTTATCTTAGCTTACTTAGAAAGCAATTTATCTTGCCATATTTGTTTCTGTACCTGTTAGATCCACTGTATTCTGAGAAAACTTTAATATTCAGCTGCCTATACCAAATAAGGGGTCATTGAAGATTTTTTCATGAAAGCAACTTATGAAAAATCCCTCTGCATCTGTTGCAAAAGTGAGGCTGAGGACATTGTTTATTTTAGTGATTAACTTTTCCTTATGTGGAGGATATTTCTTTAAAAAATTATTGCCTTGCATTTCTAGTATTCCATTCCATTCATCTTCAGTAGAATAAAGGTGTATCACAAAAATCCCCCTCCTAATATCTCATAAAATCAACATAAAAGAGTAAAAACTAGAGGAAAAACCTCCACAAGCAATAACCAAATAAGCAAATGACAGAGCTTCATAAGTCTCTTGGATGGTTAAGGACAGAAATAAAAGATCTTTGAGACTCATAATTCATCATTGTGAGGCTCCTAATGCTACTCTGGACTCCACAGAGGTCATAATGGTGAATTCTCGAAATCTTACAAATTCTCATTAATACCTCTAAATTTACAGAGATACAAACTAAAAGAGACTCCATATCTTTTTCTTATTGTAAGCAGCTTCTATAAGAAACATGGAATGGAGGGCTAATCACATTCAAGATGAAGGTTCTAGAAACGAATGTACACTGAATTGAAAATCTAATCTTAAACTTGATGACACTCCCCACATAATCATGAGCTAAACCCTTATCTAGGAAGAAAAATTCTAGCACTAGACATTAATAAAATTTCAGAAGAGCAGAGTATTCCAACAAAGACTATATGTTGTCTCTGGTCTTGCTTCCCCTATTGTTTTTCTGTACAAGTTCCAGATCTGATACAGTCTGGGCTTTTTGTTTCTTCCTACATCTCTGCAACAAGTTTGAAATAAGCACTAATTTGAGGACTGGATATTGTTTTATCAGTTTTTTTTTCTGAAAAATCATATAATAAACAGAAATTTGAAGGAGAGGGTAGGTGGGGAGAAAGGTAATAGTGCAAATATCCTTACCTTTCATAGCAAGAGTCAACCAATCATGTCTAAGGTTTAAAATATAGTTAACATTTGACTGTAACCTATTATGATTTTCCTATTTTCTAAAATTTAGAGGGATTTCAGCATATATCTCTTGTAATAAAAAAGTTATTTCAAAGTCAATAGGCTCTTTTACTCAGTTCTCTTCTGTTTAAGTGCAAATAAATGCTACTATATATTAGCTTCAGAAAATTATCCTAATTGTTTATATAGCTATGTCTTTCACTCATTTAAACATCCATACATTCCTCTAGCTACATAATAGTCATTGAAAGATGATGGAATGTTTTATAAACAATGTTAATATTGATTACTCTTGGGTAGTTAAATTTGAAGTATATTTTATTTTTTTACTCCCTTTTTACATTTTTGCTTTGTTTGAATTCTTTGTCATTTGTATGCTCATTCAAAAATAAAGGGATTTCAATAGCCATCGTGGTCCTAAGGAAAAAAACAAAGCTGGAGGCATCCTGCTACTTGACTTCAAACTATACTACAGGGCTACAGTAACCAAAACAGCATGGTATTGGTACAAAAAGACACTGGACCAACAGAACAGAATAGAGAACCCTGAAATAAGACCACACACCTACAACTGTCTGATCTTTGACAAACCTGACAAAAACAAGCAATAGGGACAGAATAGAGAACCCAGAAATAAGACGACACA